GGAAGAAGAAATCTCTCTGTTAATGGCCTATCAAGAGAAAGAACAAGCGACGAAGGAAATTCATCAAAATATATGGTAAGACACGGGTTGCAGCAATCATATGTGCGGAAATAAGTCAGCTTTCTCCATATTATGATGAGTCGTATCGAGATTCTATGAAGTTCGGAAATGATTCAAAAGTTGCAGTCACGGGATAAGGCAGGTAATCATTCAAACTAAAAGATATATTTCTCAAATAATCTCTTATGTCCTTTATGTTCCTCAGTTAACGTCAAATCTTTTGAGTCTTTGTCAGTTGCAAGAGAAAGGATATGAGATTTTCATTAAAAATTGAATTGTCAGATTCAAGATGACAATTTACGCTTACTTGCTCAAGTTAAAATGACTGCAAACCGAATGTTTCCTCTTTATCTCAATAAGATACCACAATCATGCTTCTTAACAAAACAAGGAGATGATCCTTAGTTATGGCATTTTCGTTTTGGCCATCTTAATTTTGCTGGATTGAAGACCTTGCAACAGAAGAATATGGTATTGGTCTTCCTCAACTTTCAGCTCCATCTGAAATTGTGAAGAGTGCATTGTTAGCAAGCAGTGTCGCAACTCTTTTTAAAAAAGGGGCTCATGGAGAGCAATGAAAGCACTGGAACTTGTCCATTCCGATATTTGTGAACCAATAACTCCATCTTCTAATGGAGGTAAAAGTTATACAATCACCTTCATTGATGATTTTACTCAGAAAAGTTGGGTATACTTTTTGCAGGTGAAATCTGAAGCTTAAGCTTTTAAAAGCTTCAAAGTGCTTGTTGAAAAAGAGATCAGTAGCCCAATTAAAGTCCTGCATTCAGATCACAAGGGAGAATATAAATCACATGAATTTGCAAGTTTTTGTGAGCGTCATGGAATCAAAAGGAAACTTACAGCAGCCTACTCGCCCCAGCAAAATGGAGTATGTGAGAGGAAAAACGGCACTATCACGAACATGGTGCAGAGTATTTTGACAAGCAGCTGTGTTTCAAGAAGTTTTTGGTCTGAAGTAGTTAATTGACTATACATATCCTAAATAGATTCCTCACATTTGCAGTTAAATACATGACTCCGGAGGAAGCATGGAGCGGACTACAACCAGCCGTAGATCACTTCAGAATCTTTGGGTGCATTGTATATTCCCATATTCTTGATCAAAAGAGAAAAAAGCTAGACGACAAGGGAAAAAAATGGATTTTTCTCGGTGTTAGTGATCAATCAAAAGCTTACAAGCTTTATAATCCTAAAACTAAGAAAATATTAGTTAGCCGAGATGTCGTCTTTGATGAATAATCATTTTGGTTGTGGAACAAAAATGCCACGGGAGAACAAATTCTAATATGCCTTGATGATGAAAATGGTGAAGAATCAATTCAGCCTCAACAACAAGTTCCAGAAGTAGTAGTCCCTGAAAATGCACGAGATAGAAAAATTGGAAACTCTGAAACTTCACTAGTTATGAATGAGCCCAGAGAAACTATAGCTGATTCAGTGCCACTCGTTCTCGAAGAAGGCCAACATGAATAACAGATTACGAGGTAAAAGGAATTGATCAATCCGAAGATCCTCTTACTCATTTTGCTCTGTTTTCAGATTGTGATCCGATAAATTTTTTGAAAGTGTTGTTAAAGATGAAAAATAGCAAAGGCAATGGATGATGAAATTGCAGCCATTGAAAAAAATGATGCATGGGAGCTTGCTGATCTACCATATGGACACAAAATGATTGGAGTAAAATGGGTCTATAAAACTAAGCTCAAGGAGAATGTAGAGATAGATAAGCACAAGGCACGTTTGGTGGCTAAAGGCTACAAAACAAGAATTTGGGGTGGATTACAGAGAAGTTTTTGCTCCTGTTGTCAGACTTGATACAGTCAAATTGGTGATGGCATTGGCTTTGCAGAATTCACGGCCTATTTTTCAATTGGATGTGAAGTCGGCTTTTCTACATGAAGACTTGCAAGAACATGTATTTATTGAACAACGTCCTGGCTATGTTAAGATTAATGAAGATCCCAAAGTTCGCAGATTGAAGAAGACTCTATACGGACTAAAACAAGCACCTAGAGCTTGGTATAGTCGTATCGATGCTTATTTTCAAAAAGAATGTTTTCAAAAATGTCCATATGAACATAGTCTTTATACAAAGTGTGAAGATGGAGGGAAAATATTAATGGTATGCTTATATGTAGATGATCTGATTTATATGGGAAATGATAGATTCATTTTTGAAAAGTTCTATGATGCTTGACTTTGATATGTCTGATCTTGGAATGTCGCATTACTTTCTTGGCATAGAAATAGTGCAATCGGTTAGAGGGATATTTATTTCTCAAAAGAAGTATGTGCGAGAAATTTTAGACAGGTTGCAAATGAGCAATTGAAACCCTGTCACTTCACCTTCAGATGTTTGCTTGAAGATTAAAAAGGATATTGGAGGAAAGAGGATCAATGGCACTTTTTTCAAACAAATTGTGGGAAGTCTGATGTATTTGACAGCAACAAGGTTGAACATCACACATGATGTAAGTCTCATTAGTAGATTCATGGAGAATCATTGCATCTTTTGGCTGCAAAAATGATCCTTCGATACTTAAAAGGTAATGTCAACTTTGGGTTGTTCTACAAAAAGGATAAAAATACAGAACTGATTGCCTTTTCTGATAGTGATTATGCTGGAGATTTAGATGATAGGAAGAGTAATTCAGGTTATGTGTTTATGCTGAGTTCAGGTGCAGTCTCATGGTCATCAAAGAAACAACCAATCTCACTTTGTCAACAACTGAAGCTGAGTTTGTTGCTGCTACTACATGTGCCTCACAGGCCATTTGGCTAAGAAATATTCTTGCTGACCTGAATTTCAATCAACAAGAAGCAACAACAATTTATTGCAATAATAGTTCTGCTATAAAGTTGTCCAGAAATCCAGTATTTCATGGGAGAAGCAAGCATATTGATGTAAGGTTTCATTTTTTAAGAGATCTCACTGAAGATTGAGTAATTGATCTTGTCTATTGCAGAAGTAAAGATCAGTTCGCTGACATTTTCACAAAATCCCTCAAACATGCATCATTTGTGAAGCTTAGGAAATTACTTGGAGTCTGTACTTATGTGTAACAGACTTTTGAGAATTAAAACTAAATGTTCGAGAACATCGGTTTAAGGGAGGAAATGTTAAAATACGTGACTTTGTTAGCATCTATCCTACTTTATAGGAGCTTGTCGGCAGTAGGTTTCTATTCATAGGTGTAGTTCTGATTCTAGAGTTTGATTCTCAGTAGGTAACTTAGTAGGATATTTTTTCTTTTAACTGTTTACCAATTGTTAAGATACCAGTTATGTAGGTTCCTATTTTTCTGCACTTAGTCGTTGTAAGTTACTTGTATAAAGAGAGCTTGCAGCAGTACAATAGAGATACACTTGCTCGATACATTTTTTTATTATTCTCTGTCTTTCTACTGAATACTTTAGAACATTGATGGCTTGGATCTTTTTAAATCTGTATGCATATCTTAATTGATTCCTATACGTTTCTAATTACCTCAGTGGGATTTTTCAATTATTGGGGTGCATAATTGTTTATTCATTAATTAATTTATCTAAACAACTAGAAGACAAAAGTCAATACCTTTTTTATATTCTAAAATTATAGTCAAATAAAATATGTGACTCCAATAGAAGTTTCATACTGTAGCTAAGGGCGCGGCTTGGTTGTTAATGAAATGGTTGAGAACCATGATATATCAGGTTATGATTTTCTATGGAGACAAAAAACACTAAGTGATTTTTCCTCCTCGGTCTTAACCTCGTGAAAGAGTTACTTAGTACATGTTGCTTGTGAGACGTGACATGTATTCCGTGAAATTAGTTGAAGTGCGTGAAATATTACCCAAACACCACATTAAGAATAGATGAAGTGCTTTTTTGACTTGATTGTTTTTTAGCCATTTATTCTTGTTCCTTGTTGGTTGTTGTGCATATAATTAATCTCAACGGTCTTTTTTATTAGGCTATTCTATAAAGATGTCTTCTTGTTTGTAGAACTTTATAACTTATTAAATCATGATTTTATTTGTTAATATGTACAACATACCATGTGTAGTTTTACAACTGAGGTCTGGGACACTACCTCCTACCTTTTGAAGGAAGAGGAGTTGTTTATCAAGGACCCTAGCCTCTAGTAAATCATATTAAAACATGAAGAAATAAGACATTTTAGAAAAATAAAAGAGTAGTATCAAAACCAAAACGAATGAGCATTTTTATATTTGGAAGTTCTTTAACTTTCCATTTACTTAAGGGACATTCTCTTGTTGGGTGAGGCGTAATGGTTGATGAACAGGTTTAGAACCATTTGGTGATAGGGTTACTTGGTACCGGTTGTTGGTAGGAGATGACAGCTATCTCATAGAATTAGTTGAGGTGTCTCAAAGTCAGTCCAGATACCATATTCATAAAAAAAAGTCATATAACTAAGAAATGATGAAGTGTTTTATTTGGCTTGATTGTTATTGAAGTTTGCTTTTAGTTAAAGAAGTAACTTTTAGCAAAATAAGTTATTTAGTTTGAATAAATTTGAATTTTGAATTTAAGTTAATTTGTTTATATTGTTGAGATATTTTAGGTTGTTTAAATTTTATTTGGCTATTTAAAGCCCTTCAATGCTTAATAAAATTATTGAAAGCTATTGAATGTCATTTCAATCCTGATTCCTGAGAGACATTTTAATAATTTTGTGCTGCCCCATTTCTTTTAAAAACACTAACATTTGTTTTCCTTTATTTCTATTTATTCTTTGTTGGTAGCTGTGTACGTTATTAATTTAAACAATCTTTGTTTATTTGTCTATTCCAAAAACATGACTTCTTATTGGTAAAATTGTGTAAATTATTGATACTATGATTTTGCTTGTTAATATGTACTACATACCATGTGTAATTGTGCAAGTGGGCATGGGACCTTACCTCCTACCTTTTGATGGTAGAGGGCAGTACCCGAAAGAGCTTTGGCTCTTGTAAAATATATTAAAGCAGGAACAAATAATCTATTTTAGAAAAAGAAAAAATGCAGTATCAAAACCAAAAAGAATGAGAATTTTTATATTTGGAAGTTCTTTAACTTTCACATTTACCCTTAGTGACATGCTCTTATAGGGTGTGGTCTAGAGATCAATGAATGGGTAAGAACCATGAGGTCTTAGATTCAATTTTCTGAGGAGACATAATACTAGGTGATTATTCCCATATGTCCTAGTCTTGGTGATATCAATGTCTGCTAGTTGTTGCTACTGGGAAATGATATCCCATGGAATTAGTCGAGGTGAGTGAATGCTAGCCCATACACAATGGGCATCAAATTGTGTCATATAACTAAGAACAGATGAAATGCTTTTTTTGGCTTGATTGCTTTTCTTGGTTTGTGTTTGTCCCTTGTTGGTAGTTTTGTTTACGAGTAAATCAAGATATACTATCATTTTCTTGTATGAGATTCCACATTTGTTTTGTTCCAGGGGGTTACTTGCATGAAATAACTAGTTTAGCCTATGGTGTAGATATTGAAAGAATAAGCTGGATGGGGATTTTGCTAGTAACTCTGATCTGATATTATTCGTTTTGCTATTTTGCTACCCGAGTATGAGATGAACAGTTTAGGTACAAAATTAATGTTGTTTCATAAAACTAGCATTGCCAGTTGAGATGAGTGTCGTCTCATTGCCTCCAATGATTTCTTTTGTTTTGTAGCTATGTTTCTTATCCTTCCTAAGTGGTTGGTAAGTCTTCCTTAGTTAGACTTCTAAAGACTGCTTTTACCTGCCCACTAGTTCCTCTGCTTTAGCCTGGGAAGTATTGCTCTTGTTGTTATTTTTAGTTTTGGTAAAAGAGCCTATATGAATTAACTTTCTATTTAACTATCTATTTGATAGATGCTAATTCTTCAAGATTATTATATGAAGTTTTCATTTTCTTGTAAGAAGGATTACTAGTAACTAGGTCAATAATTAGGTGTAAATGAAGAACTAATGCATGTAACTAGTTCATTTCAATTGCTTGTTCAGAATATTATACATTTCTTTTCATTTATGTAGAGAATAGTTGTTGAATATATTATAGCAGCTTGTGCGAGATATGGGATGAAAATAATTGCCTTTTTCAAAAAAATATATTTGGCAATGGTAAGACAACTACATCCCTGACTTTCAGGTAGATTTTTTTGTTTTGATTGTGCAATTACTAGAAGTACAAATATATCTTCTGTTTCTGCCTCATTAAGGTATTGCTTTGGAAACTCAAAAGGAAGAATATAGATCAAGTATCTTCACAATGGAACGTAGTTAGATAAACCGAGATGTTTAACTATTTCTTATTGTACCAAGAAAAATCTTAGTCATGTGCTAGTGTTTTTCCTTAGTTGAACGATAAGTGTGTCCTGTTAACTTCTCATAAGTCGATATATATCCCCTTTAAATTAGATAAAGATTTCAACCTAATTACTTGGACTAGGCCTCATTGGTTATTAACAAGTAGATTAAATAGGTAAAAGATGAGAAATTTGTGTTTTTTTTTATTGGAAACTAGCGAGTCCAACTGCAGTAATTTTTTTAATTATTATTGGAGAACTAGTGAGTCCCCTTTTATATAGTGTTGTTTCTTGTCCTCTATGGTTATCACTGTCTCTAGTTTTACCTGACAACATTTTACTTCATTTTTATTGTATCATGTTCCTATTATCTGCTATATATCGTGGGTTCACAAGAACAAAAATAAATTTTAGTGGCAATAAATATTGACATTAGTAAAGAGTGATAAAACCTTTACCGGCATTAGTTAAGTGTCATTAGAACCAATGTCTCTAAAAATACATATTTATTGCCGCTAATGATTATTTTTGGCATAGTCATTGTTATATGGTCAATATGTCCCTGACTGGCAATTCAGTGTGTCGCAGTCAACGGGAAGAACCTTTTATGACTTTACAACTGTTCGCTTTCTATCACCTTAATCCTAATTGTATTCTAAAAAGTAAAAACGATGTGACTATGGAAGTGGCTCCATATAACACGTTAAAAACTCTACAGAAGTGTGAAGATGAATATGATGAGTCATTATTTCTTTGAATGATATCAGTACTAATTTTCAGTAGCACAAATTTGAGGTTGTTGACATGAATGATCATCATGAATTCGTGATCATATATATCTTGTGATGGATGAATGACCTATGGGACAAATGGAGAGGATACTTACATGCAAAACATGTGAAGGATAAGCCCATTCAACAGTCCCCTAAGAATATCCCAAGGGGAATAGACAAAAAAGAATGGAAATGGTTAGTAAAGGAACATTTTACTTCTGAAAGTTTCCAGGTATGTATACTTCTGAAGTTTATTACTAGGAAACAACCTTGAAGCTTGTTCAGGCATGAGATGCCTTATGTTTTAACAATTTTGTTATAATTATTCTAATTAGGCTTATGTTTCCCATATATAGGCAAGAAGCATCAGGAATGCAACAAACAGATCTAAGTTGAAGATGCTTCATCATATTGGTAACAAACATATTCGAGAGATTATTTATCATTTTTGATGAAGTATTTACAAGGTTTGTGTTATTTGACATGTTTAAATTTGATGTAAAGGGTGGGAAAGCTGGTAATCTGACGAAATGACTTGTAAGAAAGATAACAAGTTTGTTGAACCTGAAGCAATTGAAACACATGTACGTTTGGTAAATTGAATACGTAAATAGCCTAAAATTGTTATGTATTTTGATAGAAAAAGTCCTTTTACATATTTTCTAGGCTCAACTTGAGGAAATAGTTCAAGAAGATACATCTCTATCTAGTATAGAGATTGTTGAAAAGTGTTGTGGACCACAAACTCATAGCCATGTATTTGGATTTGGGGGTTGACTAAAGGCGAAAGATTTTAAACGTGGGACTTCTTCAAAGGCTGAAATACTAGTCGCTCTACGTTCAACTCGAGATGATAACTTACTGAGTGAAGAAACGAATACTTGATTGAGTAAACAAATCCTTAAATGATCGCTTGTCTATCTTAGAAGATGAGATGAAAGAACTCTTTCTGCTCAACAGTAAGATTTCCTACCTACAATATCACCTGTTTCAACTGAATGACAATTGTTTTTATGTTGACCATGTAAGTAACAATATACCAGACTTTATTTTATTATAAGAGGTCTTTTAATTCATGAGAAGATAGTTCTGCAATGCCACAGTCAGTAAGGTGTATGGTAACCCTCAAAAGCATGTTTTTAGCTGCCTCTTCTATTATGTCTGTCATGGGGGGGGGGGGGATAAGAAATAGTTTTCATGTTGATAAGATGACGAGGTAAAAAAGTTTGTCACATGAGGTAGCAGATGGGATGACTGTAGCTGTCAAAATTTTCAATGTGTACATTTTAAACCTTTGACAGGAAATGTGAAATCGTTTGGAATCTTTGTCACAGAAATCTCACCAAAATCATTAGCAGCTGTTGTTTTAACTTGAATTTTAAAGCACTGATACTTGAGTACATTCCAAAGAAGAGCTTAAACAAGTTGCTATATTCTCGTGGCTTAACTATAATGCAGAAATTGAATATCATGTTCGACGTTGAATTTGCTTTGGAATTTCTCCATCATGGTTACTCAGTTCTGGTTATTCACGTTGTTCTTTAGTCTAGCAGTGTGTTGACAACGAAATGATGGGACACCTTACTGACTTTGGCATTGCCACACTTCTAAGAAAGGTAGCTTCCTTTTCATTTCTTTCATTTTTATTATATGACTGATGTTGTATTTAGTTGTTAATCTTTAAAATAGATATTAGATTCTCGGTCAATGCATCTCAAAGTCTTTCTAATGGATACTTTTCATATTTTCTTGCAGTTTTTGTTGATGTTTCTGGATAGCATTTGATGAACATTGGACCTCTCAATTTTTTCCTAGCTTCTGTTCATTCTTCTGCTAGATACATGTTTAGAAGAAGATGAATCAGCTCACTATTAGTTTTCTACAAATTTAATGCAAAACTTGATGTTAGTCTAACTCGGATGTTAGCTATTTTTTTTTGTTAAACAAATATATATTGAAACCAATATCATGGATGTCAATTAGTTTATTGTAATGAATTGCTTTCTTACATATATCTTGTTTTCGCTGTCTCTTATCTCATATATATATCATCTTTTCGAAGCAAAATCTTTAGTAGCAATTCGATATTTGTTGAAATGTATTAGTGCTCAATCAAGTACAAGAATTATTGCTGCTCTCTAAAGGCCAATCTATGTCCAGGAAGCTTGTTGCTTGTCTCTAATATATTCTAGGAAGGGGTTGTTGATACTCGCCATAGCTATTATAGGACGACGTTGGTGAGTCGCTAAAGGTATTTCTAGGACCAGATAATTATCGTCTATAAAGCAATTCTAAGGACATGTCTTTAACGGTCGCTAGAGATTGATCTATAATGTCTCTAAAGATTAATACGACTAGGTTTTGGTGGTTGTTAGAGTTTTACCGACCTAAAAAATTTATTTCCCAAGATATATCTTCTCTATATGAGACTAGAAATAACATCCCTAAAGATATTTCGTGACTAGTTTGGATTCCCGTCCCAAAAACCATTAACGACTACTTTCTTTGTCCCGTTGTTGTTGAGTGATAGCGAAGGAAGCTTTTAGGATGGGTGGCTACCAGATTTTTCTGGTCTCAAATGCTCGTTTGGGACAAGATTTTGACTTTCCGAGACCAGATTTCCCTCCTTTAGAGACTGTTTTCTTATAGTGATATAAGATGGTAAATATTGTTGCTTCTTGCATGTAAAACGTTTTGATCTTAGACCTGCATGTAATTATGCTGGAATGATTGATCGCCATATTCTTGGAATAGATCACTCTATGCAAAACCTGTACATAGAAATATAAAGGTAACATTATACTGAACTGCACTGCTGACATGCTTATCTCCAGACCTCACAGTTAGCCCATTCATGAACGCATACAGTTTATGAGAGTATGCCCTCTTGGTGTCATGCTGGTTTTGATCCTCAAGGCATTGTAAGGTAACAACCTAACATATTTGTCGACCACTTGTCATGCTTATATCATTACAAAAGTCTAGGGCAAACTTATACTATGAGATGATAATTCTTAATTTGTAGGTGAGACCTCAATATGCCCTGAGTAGGTCCATTTGGAAATGTTGGAATTACTAGTTATCACTAATCCCTATTCTCTATTAATGTGGCCTTGATATTTCATTAGTTTTGAAGCATGCTTGATATTCATGGATAAAAAATAAAACTAGTAAAATTTATGATTTTATTCAGATTTTCTTAAGTAGCCTACAAAGAGAAAAGTTGATAACTAATATTAGATGAACAAAGTACTCAATAAAGATATTGTAGAAAAAATGGGTCCACCCATAAAAAATTTTGAGTCAAAGGGGTAAAAAATATTTTCAAAAGTTCCAAAAGGGTACCAAAATTCATTTTAGAACCAAAAGGGCAATTTTTTAACGGATGAGCTAACATTGTAGAAATTAGGTTGACCGCCGCAAGGCGCAATTCCATGCGCCTTGAAAGGAGCAGGTGGTATACGCCTTACTGAGCAACCTCTAAAAGCATTCATTCAACAATAATTCTAAGTTAATTTAGAGTATGGCTTAAAAAGGCGTACTAGAGAAAAAAATAAATAAGCCTTTTTTTCTGTTTCAAAAAATAAGCTTATTATGTGGAATCTTGTTGTAAAACTTAAGAATATAAGAACAATATAAAGATGAATACAAGAAGAATATAAGATAAGATGAACAATATGAAATAACTTTTTTTCTTTAAAGTATTCACCAAATCTTGAAGTGTATACAATATGAACTTATATGCTCTATTTATAGAGTTACATAGAGGCATACAAAAGGTTAGTCATAAACATGACATTAACATGCATATAATGGAGGAGGTTATGGTGCAGGCATTGAGCCACCTCTAAAAGCAGTTATTCAACAATAATTCCGCGTTAATTTAGAGTATGACCTGAAAAGGGATACCAAATAAAATAATAAATAAGCCTTTGTTTGCTTAAATAATAATCTTATTGAATATGTGGCATCTAAAAATATGTAAAGATTATAGCAGCATAACTTAGACCTTATAATCCTTTTAGTTTGATCCGTTTTTTATTCATTCGATAAAAGAAAAACATATTCATATAAGTAGAAATTAAGTTTAGTCTAAAAATCCATTCGTGAAAAGGGTTTCCTGTTTTAGTAAAATTGAAATATGAAGGAGACACATAGAAAAGTAATTAGGTGAAATGTGAGCTCAGCCACCGGCTAAACATTGGATTAGCTGAGAGTATTTATGGAAGTTTTGGACACTTGACAATTCAAGGGATTTTTTTTTAATTTGGAAGGAGGTCGCATAGTACTTGCGCCTTACAAGGTGCAGTCAGAGCCTTGTAACATCAAATTTCACGCCTTGTGGTGGTCAACCTAATTTGTACGATGTTAGTTCAACTGTTAAAAAGTTTCCATTTTGTTTCTAAACTGAACTATTTTGCCCTTTTAGAATTTTTTGACAATTTATTTTTTACCCTTTTGGCTTTGGACTCCCAATAAATGGTGGTTTTATGGCCCGTTAAGGCTATTAAGTTGACCATATTATTTTTCTATACATAGAAGTATTGAAAACATGTTCAAACCAGAAGCATATTATTAAATTCTTCCCTGAACCATTGATATCTTTAAAAATACCTCTCTAGTTGACTAACTGAATTCAAATGTAGTTATCTCATTTCATACACATAAACGTTTTATTCACGAGCGTGCACTTATATTTTTCTATTGTTGAGGAATGTACATAAATATATTATATTGATGTACAATCAAATGAGCTAGTTTAAGACAGGGTTTTTATGTGAATTTTGTAATTAAATGTCTGCTTTTGCATGTGCATATATTTCTAATTTAAGTGTTAAATAGAATTAGAGAAAAAGACCAAGAAGAATGCTAAAGGAAGAAAAAGAACAACAATATCCATCTACAAGGTTGCACGATCACGCATCCTGAAGCCACCGACGTGTAACGAAATAAAAACAAAAATATGACACTGGTCCTCCGCGTCTTGGTAGAGCTCTTAAGCTCCCAACTACGCACCCATGGGGAAAAATAAAAGAATGTCGATGGTCCTCCACACGCTGTCGAATGCTCAAGTGCCTAGCTATACGTACCGCGCAACGCGAGGTCTGCAAAATATTTTTTAAATTTCGTGAGAGACTATTTGCTATATGATGTTGGAATTTTTCCCAAAGTTAAGGTATTAAGAAAAAGAGCAAAAAAAAGTCTAAGTTACAACGGACAGAAGGAAAATATTGTACACCACTCAAATCAAATATGAAAGTTAGAAATTTAGTACTTGGTCGTTATGTGTTTCTGTTCATCCTTATTCTTAGTAAACTTATTCCCATTCATGGAGTAGATTTTAGAGGGCATTTCACAAACATTTCGTATTGATGAATATGTTGGAATTTTCATTTCTGTTCTTATGCTTCTACTCGTTATTGGAGGTTGAATTAAATTGCTTGTATGTTCATTATCTTTTTTATTCAAAAAAATAATATCTTATAAATATTGTTGCATAACCTTGTGTGAGATTGGACTAATACGTTTTCTCTAAACCAATTGAAAATCTTGTTGATGATTATTAATTGAATCTAATGAAAAAAATAATCAAAGGACATTACTCCCTTAAGAACAATATATGAAATGTTCTTGCATATTAGTATAGTAAGTTATAAAATCTTATTCTTTAACTTGGGATCTACTCGAAAGATAAATAAAAATCTTAAAGATACTCTTATAAACTATCGAATTAGAGAGAATCAATAGAACATAAGATGTGATAAATGAATTAATTCTAATTTCAGTTATCATTATACACTCATTTCTTCTTTTACCCTATTGTTATTAATATTCAACTTTGTAGTTATCAATTGTTTTAATTAATAATATAGCCTATAAACTCGGTTCATAACAACAACCAACTCTCTTCTTTTGATGAACTGAATAATAGTTAGCAAGACTTCATTGAATAATTATGTTTTAATTATTGTGGAGACGATCTTTATACTATGCTATCTTTAACTACTAAAGTGCTAAAATTATAATGTGTTGGTGCTCTTCAAATTTTCATGGCGTTGCCGGGAATCGACAAGAAGTAGTTATTCAGAAAGTTTTGTGTTTGTACTATTTCAGATATTCTTTTTTTATATTTATTTTTTGGTTAATATCTTAAGTTCCTAGTCTCACAGACAACATGTATTCACCACAACCTTAATGTATGATACAATCAACCTTAAAGGAAGTTATCGAATACAATATAGACTTGGAAAATATTTTACGCTTGCATAAGAAGGAACTTGCTGAGAGGGTTCTAGTGCTATCTTAGAGGCAGTATCAATGATGGATGATTTTGGAAACATGATTCTGAATCATCACGCATTTTCATGATTCGGGAGGTCATTTTAGGAAAATTTCATGAATTTATATGTTTTCCCCTCCCAATTATAACCAGAGTCTTTGGTGTTTGAGTTTTGAAAGTTGGTTACAAAATTTTAGTTACTATTGAGAATTTTGTAAGATTTGAGTTTGAAAGGCTAATGTTGTTAAGAAAGTAGTTTTTCATGTCTTTTGGAGTTTGGAGAATGAAATTATGTTGATTTCATCACTCCTTGAATGTGGAATATGGTATGTGAGAGTTGTCAATTTCAAATTCAAAGTTATTTTGAGGATTTGAGCCCGTAAGGTGGAAAATTATGAAAATTTAGCCTTTGAATTGACTTTGCTCAATATTCAGGGTTCAGATTCTCAGTTTGAAATATTGAGACTTCAATTGGATTCAAGGGATGAGTGGTTATTACAGATGTATAGTAAATGAGACCTCAGGTTCCTGTTTCAATGGTTCCATTGAGTCCAGAATTCAAGTGTAATTGGATTGAATATTTGATTTGTGTGTATAGGGTTCCAAACATATCCCAAGAATCCTTTCGATATTTTGAGTATTGGTTGTTTTTCTTATTTCTATGATCTAGTGCATCTCGTGATCGCAATGGGTGACTTACTCTCGCGAGTCTCACGTTAGCA